CCCCAAAACCCCAAAACCCCACTTGCTATGTTATTTGAGATAAATGAAACAATTGATGAAATTAAGATTAAATTTATACTTTCAAATTCAAGGTGCTTTTCAATCAAAATCATTTCTTTATCTATCTCAAATTCTCTCATCAATGTCAAAAATATCATCTTGATCATGATCTGTAACTGAAAGTTTTAGAGGCTGATGAAAAGGCGCTACCTAAATCCTTGTCTATGCTTAAGTATCTTTGGAAAGTACCTATTAATTTTCATTGTTATCAAATTTCCCAACCTCTATTGATAATTTTGCTAATATTTTGTTCCTATCATTACCAATGTTATCTTGATTCTCTTCAGGCTCAGCCTATTCAACGATTTAATCAAGATTTTTCGTTTTCTATCTAGGCATTGAGGGTATCCTCGATTTTTGTCTGCCCATTTTATTGATGTCAAGTTAATCATTTTAGGAAGTTTAAGCATAGGTTTATTTTCTATTAGCTTTATCTTGATTTAACTGTTTGTTGATTTTATCTGGGCTTGGACTGCTAAGATCTTAATAACCATTGAAGTTTGATATCGAGCTAAAACGATCCAATCTTTTTTCATAGCCCTGATCACTATCAATCATCTTATTTTTAACCACTATTTCAAATTTTAGAGTTATAGTAAGAGATTTACATTGAAGTAATTTGTTCTGGAAGTTGCTGAACTGATTATCAGATAACTAAGATTGTTCATCACTGTCATCATCTAACTGAATCCTTTATATCTATCATGAAATTTAGTCATAATTCAATTAAAGAGCTTACCTAATGCTGGATGTCATTTTTATAGTTTTCAATATTCTTATTCATTTTAGAGTAGTCATTACTTGAAATTTGTCTCTAGCCTTCAGCTTTATTTCCCATTTAGAGAGATTATTGAATGGTATTCAATAGCTCGGTGACAAGATTCCTTACTGATATCACCTCTTTTAAATCTTTATATAGCCTTGATTGATGCATTAATGATTAGAACCCAGTGAATGTCATAAAAAGTGATTTCAAAAGGAATTCATATGTGAGAGAAACATTGTTCTTGAGTTTATTTTTGTCAGGGATGATTTCATTGAACATTTCCGATCTAGGTCTGAGTTCAATTTGATCTTCTGTTGCTAGATTAATGACTTTAACTAAGATATAGTATCTCCAAATTACTTTCTCCAAATAGTCAAGCAACTACTCAGTTTTTTTAGTTTCAATCTATGATTAAGTTTGCTATCTTTTTATTTCATAATTTATCACAATTGTATCTTGCTGCTGATCATTATTATCCTTCATGAACTATGCATTACGATTATTAGATGCTTAAAATTCAATCATTCTAGCCAACTATTTCAAGCTTATGTCTACACTTTAGGCATGAGGATTCTCCTCGTTAAGATATGAAATCAGACTTTAAATAGGTTAAGCTGATTTCGACTAATAGTTTAAGATATCCTGCAGACACTTAATCATTTTTTACTGCAATTGATATTCTTTTCTTGGAGCATTTTGATTGATTTGTAGCCTGTTTTAATTTAAGAGTGCTTCATTTATGTGCTTTAGAACTAACTTTTCTCTTACCTGCAGATTCAAATTTAATCCAAATTTTTCCTAGAGCTTTTTGGCAATGTCTATTTTTTAACTAATTTCATCACTTAAATTTTATTAGTTTTCTTCTGCCTTCATGATTTGATCATTCTAATACTTATTTTATATTTAAGTAAATTACGTTTTCATTTTGATTCTAGCCAAATTAAAGTTAGTAATTTCTTATTTTTTCAAGAATGTCAATATTGATTTCCTGAATAAATAAGAATGCATTCTCCAAAAAATTTAAAGCATTGTTTTATTTTACTGGTTTCATCTATTCCTATTTATGAATGTCCTCCTGATCGAAGACATCTTAAGCATCTTAAGAATTTTAGTACTACAGAGAATTAAAATAGTTCATTTGAATACCTCGTCATTCGGATTACTCTTTTAGAAAAGTTCATCGTTCATTTTATATTATTTTTAGAATAAAAATTATAATTTATTTATAATTAATTGTTTTTGCAAATTTTGTAAATTAAAATACTAAGGGGTTTTGGGGTTTTGGGG